ATGGAGCCTCAAAATTAATTTAAAACAAATATTTACCATAAACTACTTCAATGACCTTCACAAGGTCAAACTGTGCGGCTTTCAAGCAGAAATATCATCAAGTCTTATTTTTATTAAATACATTTTCGATCCACACTGAAGATTGTTTTCAGAAATCTTTCTGAAGGATGTTTGTTTTTCCATAATTATATTTTTCGTTTGCTATTTGCTCAGATAAAAGTATTTAAATTCATTTGGATAAAAAATAAAAATTAGGCAATGTTTACAAGACGTAACCATAGCAACCTGAGTCAGACACTAATTTGCAGACATTTTTAGTGTTTGCTATGCTCGATTTCCTTGGCCAGATTTTACCTGTAGCTGTAAATTTATCGCTTTGGCCTGTAATATAACCCCTAATTATACGGCCTTGATATAACCGGCAGGGCCTTGATATAGGTAACTTCGGTTTTGCCAAAGACCCTAAAATTACGGGTTTGACCAAGGCGGTTTGACATGCTTATATAGCATTGGGGCTTGCCTTGCTTAGTATTTTAGTTTACCGAATTTATATTCCTATATCATATATGCCATGACTTTGCATTCGCTTGGGAATTGCGGATAACATCGACACGATTGCGAACGATCGCTTGAGTGCCACGTTTGCGAACTCTTACCCATACACACAAACTACAGCCATGGCTGATAAGTATTTTTTTTTTAATTCAGTGCATGTCGACCAACGCATCAGTGCTGACTCAATTGGATAGCTAAGATGCTGCGGATGGTCGCAGATGACATTTTCGCCACGGTTAGAAATGCATCAGTCCGTGTCGGCGTCGCATCAGTCCGTGGCGTAGTTCGCAAATCGCAATCCTCTACGATTCAACAGATTTTTATCTATTCAAACGCAAAAGCACGATTTGAAAAATCCATGTCAATTGTCGTTGTGTTGTGGACTATCCTAACCGTGCGCCAGCAATCAGCGCCCGTTCCTGATGCCGTCGGGCGCTCGCCGCGCCCGCACGCTGGCGACGCACCAACCTCTGGCAGGACGCCTCTGACGTCACTGTCTGTGGGGCACGGGGGCCGCGGCGGCATACCATACCCAGCCAGCCGCCAGACAGACAGCCCGGCCGCCGGGTCCGCGCCACGAGAGCTGGGGACGACCGTAAACGGTGGAGGAGACGCCCCCTTCCGCAGCCCGGCGGACCAGGGACAAGGGTTGACTTGACGGCTACGGATGGGTAAGGGCAGGTGTTGTCCATCTGAACTGCACAGTCACGTGACCCATTTGACCTTCGGATCCAATTCTGGTAGTCAATTCTGGCGCTTTTGTTACCATAGCGAAAAATGTAGCCCCGTGTTCACAGTTTTCCTGACGACGAAGATTCTGCTAATCTGGCCAATGGCGTTCGAGAACCGCGGCCAAGCCCCGCTGATCTTGAACGTGATTGGTCGGACGGCGTATAGAATCTTCGTCGTCCAGGAGACTGCGAACACTGGGTAAACCAAGAGGTAAACAATCTGTGCGTGGAATGGGGATTGGGAGTGGTGAATGTGTAAGGGCGATGATAGGCTGATTCGTCGATTTTTATTTATACTATTATCCTTATTATATATTCTGACCACTTTGTTTATGTTCAGGAGTTTTTTTCTGTTTATTTAACATAAAAACGGTGTGTTTTACTGCCAATGCCAAGTGCCATGTTGATATTGAAATTGGGTTACAATTCAACATTCACCGGTTTTTCTATGGCCTGTTGTGCATCATATTATTGGTAATGTGAACATAGGTACTCCATACACTGCTTCTTTTGGGTATATTTTAATGTTTGACCTGATTTTACTTCATTTCACCTTATATGTTTTTGCAGGAACAGTTATCACACCATTATTGTGTAAAAATAAGGGTGGTGTTTCGCGGCACTCTGCCAGCCATTTTTGGCTTACATAGAGACATCAACAAGCCTATACCTGCGACACTACCAGAGGTTGACGCTAGCTCACGGAATGCGCTGGCAGCGGCTGGCAGCGCGCCGGTGAAACAGCCAGGGGTTTCCTATGTAACGTCATTGTTGTCTAGGTAGATGGGTCTTCATCAATTGTTAACAGCTACAAAAATTGGAATGAAAAATGTTGAGGTATTTTGAGCATCAGCTAAACAGGAAAGAGAATTTGGCTACAGCCCATCTTGCAACGCCTCAATGAAATTTCACGAGAAACTGAAATTAAGGGAGCAGCTACATAACTGAGGTAAAGTCGATAAATCCTTGTGTATTTACCTACATAACTGGGGTAAATCCACAAGGCACCTTGAATTCAAACTATGAAGTGACTCCAAGCGAAATATAGCAGAAATTGGGACTTAGTGGAGCTTAGAAATAATCTGCTTAGTGCTGGATGAATGTTTTCACTTAAATGAACACCACCATATTCGAGTCATGAAAAAGTGTTGAGTAAGCATAAGCTTGTAGCATAAAAGATGTTTGTGAAAAGTCACTAGATTTTAAAGTGTTAGTCTCTGCACATTGATTCTCTGATTGTTTAAATGATGAAGTCTCTGCACAGTCTCTGATTGACTGAATGAGCTCTGCAGTCACATTACAATAGTGAAATTCATGGGAAGATTTTATTTGTAATAAAAGAAGGTAATATTTTGAGTTGATTATTCCTATTCTGTGAAGACCATAGCATGTTTAACAGCATTCCAAACAGGGCATGTCAAAGGTTGGATGGATCTTGGGATTTCCTTGAATTGTGTTTACCATATGTTGTTTTTTTTATTCAAAGTTATTGTAAAAGCCAACCAACTTTTACAACATTGATGATCATACTTTAGCTTTGGAAACAAGACATATGTATTATGTAGTCTACATATCTATGGTTATGCTGATCTTGTTTTCCAGAGTCTTTGATTATCACTTGATTTCATTCACTTTTGATGTAGTGAAATCCATGATCATTTTAATGACAAGCTACATTTGAAATGTATTGTTGCTCCCTTTTTTACCATGCATATTTTTGTGTCTTGTGAGGTCTCATATAGGAATAACAAGAGCAGTAACATGCATTTTTTGCTTGTGGTGTCATAACTTTGTACAATATTTCCAGCTTTATAATATGCAGTTACCAGTCACATTGGGCATCACATATATATTTTTCCTGCAGGAGGAAAGACACAGAGCTAACTAGTGACTCATGTTTGTGCTCCTATCACTTCACCCCTGGGGAATCAGTGCCTACAACACCCCTTGAGTATAATGGTCACCAAGGGGTGCTGTCCTGGCATGTTCACTTTCTGTTGAGAAGGTTATAACAAACACCATGTGTGTCATTTAGTTGCATATATAATATCTTAATGTTAAGTCTACATAAAGTTTGAAGTCTGTAGCCCCTCTTAATCCTAGTTTGTCATTACCTTAATCTAGCCTGGGTGGATATTTTGTTGTGCTTAAAGCACGGACTGCGCGACGCCCCGGCACGGCGGCCGGGGCACCTCCCCTGGAAGAAAACGGCACCGGGGAGGGGGGACGGACGGCGAGGAGCCGGGAAGGAGCGCGGCACCGTCACCCCACAAGCCGCCCGCAGCAACGCCGTTATTCTTGTGCCTCTTGGGCGCCGCCGACGCCCTGCGGATGGGGAGCGCATCCCAGACGGGCGGGAGCCGGGAGGGCCGCCCGCGCCATCCGGCCGGCGAAGCAGCAGCCCGGCCAGGCGCGGCGGGCGGCTGGGTGGCGGCCGGACTGAGACGAGTCCCGAGTCGCTCCATGTCTCTGTCTCTTGCGAAACTAGTACCGCCGCCGCCCAGCCTTGATGGGTCACTACGAGGAAAAGGCGAGCCCGCTCCCAGTACCTGTCGTGGAGCTCCCGCGCGGGCACGCCGCCTCACCGATGGCCCCTGGTCTTTATCTCTCTCTCTCTCTCTCTCTCTCTCTCTCTCTCTCTCTCTCTCTCTCTCTCTCTCTCTCTCTCTCTCTCTCTCTCCGTCTCCGTCTCCGTCTCCGTCTCCGTCTCCGTCTCCGTCTCCGTCTCCGTCTCCGTCTCCGTCTCCGTCTCCGTCTCCGTCTCCGTCTCCGTCTCCGTCTCCGTCTCCGTCTCCGCCTCTCTCTCTCTCTCTCTCGCTCTCTCTCTCTCTCTCTCTCTCTCTCTCTCTCTCTCTCTCTCTCTCTCTCTCTCTCTCTCTCTCTCTCTCTCTCTCTCTCCCTCTCTCCCTCCCCGACGCCAAAACCGGCTCACAACGGCGTCCATGGCCGGGGCGAAATGACTTGAATGATTATTTCATAAAGGCATTAACAGTGACACAAGACAAAAGTTCAACAAATTCTACGCATGAATCATCCAGTAGGTACTAACTTCGAGAGCAGTTAAAATGAAGATGCACAAGGAAGCGTAATTTCCCAATGACATGATATGGCTGTCACAATGCTTAGCCGCAATCACCTCTTTTTGTAGTTGAAATGGTAAGTAATTTTTGAAATTATCCGATAAAAATCTAAAATTGATACCATATTGAAGACCAATCAATTCTACACATGAATCAGGGTGTATCTTTGAGAAAAACTTGAAAGTTTAGGTGTGATAAGAAAAACAAATAAAAATGAACCATTTTCCCATAGACTTTGTATTGGCTCCAAAATCGCATGGATCCAGAATTTCTGGAAGTGCCCTCGCCACAACTGCACGTGCGCTGCGCTCGAAAATGATCACGTGACCAAATCCAGATGAGATCACCGTATTTATAGTCACCGTGGGTAAGGGGAGGGGAGAGGGGGTGTAATCATCATCTCAGACACACTGGCGATAAAGTATAGCTGTTTGGCTCGATTGATTTGAACTGCTAAACATCTTTTTTTTTTAAGCCGTTACCGTTACAAAACAAACGAGAAATACTTTCGGAAATATTTCGGTCAAAGGATCGGTCAGTGATCGCCAGAGGCCAGTAAGCGAGCGCTCCGCTTCCGACAGAAGCTAATATATGACATGACAGTCCATCATCCGATCCATCATCAAACCACTTCTCAAATTCACGGCACATTTGAGCCAGATGTATTCAATCACACTAGCCTCCAGCGAGTCTGCGGATGACGTCTCGGGTTACAGCGAATCAGACATTACGGCGTCTACGTCCGCGTGTCGACACAGTGACCTCCCTCCCTCCCTCCACACAACCCGGAGACACAGACACATGAATGAATACAAAATATACTTTATTCATCATCATATAACATGACACGTTCATGGCGACAACCCGACGCTACGGTTCAAATCATCGACGCGTTTATTTTCGCCCACGAATACGGCGCGGACGCGATTCTCGCTGGGGGAGGTACCTAGTCGCGAGGCCCGCCGAGTGTCCCGCCCACCCCGCTGCCCTCCAGCTCAGCGCTCTCCCACGCCGCCACCCGCCGACCACTCGATAATGGGTGGCTCCGCGGCGCTGCGGTGGCGCCCTCTCACACAGGACACGCTCTCGCAGGGGCGGGCGCTCACGGGCGTCCTCTCACCGCGGGTCCCGGGTCCGGCGGCGCCCCGGCCAGCCCTCAGAGCGAGCCCGCGGCCCACTCCAATATCTCTCTCGCTCTCTCGCTCTCCACCCGTTCACCCCTCGTCCACGACTCTGAAGCGTTTTTCAGTCCGTCGGCGGCCTCGGCGAAACACTAGCGCCCCTGGCGGCGGCGGCGGGCGGCGGCGCTCAGCCGTCCTTGTGCGCGCCCGCGCCGTCTGTTAGGGTGAGCCGCTCGATGCCGGCGGCCGCCGCCACGGGCTCCTCCTCGACGCCGGGCTCCTCCTCGACGATCATATGTCGCTCGTCGTCGTCCACCTCACTCTCCGACGGACTTTCGGACATCGTGTTGTACTCTGGAGGGAGAGGAAATCGGTCATTAGCGGCCATCAGCGGCTACACGGACAGCGAAACGTGAACAAACGACGAGAGAAAGGAAGTTTGGTCTCTCCGTCGAAAATATAATGCATTTTTATCCAAGCCATCACACTTACAACCTTCGTATCCTCTTTATCCTTATCCATTATATCCATCCATTATCCTCCTGATCCATATTCGCCTTTATCAACTTGATCTCTACCATCAGTTCCCACACCCACTCAACACGAACCGTTGGCCACTTGCTGTTCAGAACCCACACCGACCGAGATTTCCGTTCGCCGCCACCGACGCCTCACGTACCGTGCGGTCGGATGACCAGGGCGTCGAGGATGTCGGAGAGCGAGATGATGCCGATCACGCGCTGCTCGTCGTCGGTAATCACCAGCCGGTGCACCTCGGCGTGCACTATCTTATCTAGTACCTGAGAGCAGAAGAGAGGGAGGGGGTTAGATGTGAGGGCGCGGGGAGAGGCGGAGAGAGAGAGAGAGAGAGAGAGAGAGAGAGAGAGAGAGAGAGAGAGAGAGAGAGAGAGAGAGAGAGAGAGAGAGGAGAGAGAGAGAGAGAGAGAAAAGAGAGAGAGAGAGAGGGAGAGGGAGAGGGAGAGGGAGAGGGAGAGGGAGGGGGCAGAGTCGCGTACATTTAAGTAGCAATGTAGGGCACAGATTTTAATTAAAAAAAAACAGACAAGTTGACTCAGGCAGTATGCAGGCAACATGCGATTGGAAGATGACCGGAATTCAGACTGTAAATACTAACTAATGACCATTCAGTCCTGAACGGATCTAAAACAGAGGTGGGTGACGGACAGGTCCTGTGGATGGACAACACGTCCTGCTTTATGCGGGGAAACACATAAATTCTTAGAACAGATTGCAACACGAGCAGCATCGCAATGAGCCTGAACATTTCCCGGGCCACAAATCACTCATTGACGACATGACTGACACCGAGAGCCCCCTAACCGACCAGACACCTAACCACAGGCCCGCTCCGCACGTCCAATTGGAGCTCAGGGCCCGCCGACACCTTTCTTTGAGGTAAGCCACGCTTTAGAAACCACCTGATTGACAGCGCCACCACGTGGCGCAGCCCCCCTCCCCCACGCTCGTCCCCCGTCCTTGGCGGTGCGTCCCTCAGACCACACACCTCCCTGACAGAGGAGCGCCGCTCTCAGCGCGGGCGGTACAGCGAGCAGCGGATACGATAACGACAGGTGTGATAGCCGTCACAGCAATAGTGTTCAACGACCGAGCGCGGACATCTATCGAATAAACTCAGGACCGACCGAACCTAGATCAACCAACTGAATGACCAACGGAAACTAGAGCATTTGACTGCATAAACTCAACGAGAAGAATTCAGCTTCAGATGAGAGTAGGGGGAACCGCGGCACGACAGACGAACCAAACGAAAGAGAAGAACCCACACCGAGAATACAGAGAAATACAGAGAAACTGCATCTTGCATGCGTTTTATAAACCGAGCTACACCATTCAATCAACTGGAACCATGGAACGAACGACACCGCGCAGCGTCCTTCAACATCTATCGAAGAAGTTCCGACTGACCATTGCCACAAGAAAAGCTCCAATCAGGGCGGTTTTCAGGAGTCCAAAAATACCCTCTCATACCTTGTAGCAACGCATGCGAAGGTCGAATCATACATACACCTTATCGAGTCAGCATCTAATGACCACCGTCCATCCCCTTAACATATTTCCTTTTAAGCACAGCAAAGGACATCCCTTTTCATTCTAAGCCCAAGTGCCCCTGCAAACATCCCTCCTCCTCATTCTCCCCCAGCACCTCCCGTTTGCCCAGTCCCCATCAGGAAGAGCAAGACCACCCCCCCCCCCAAACCGACACTCCCACCGCCGTCCCGTCCTCTCCATTTACCTGCATCAGTGTGTCGGAGAGTTTGCACGCCTCCACCTTGTTCTCAGAGCGATGCGAGTTGGCCGCCATCAGCGGCACGTTCAGGTTGTTGTACGTCTTCTCGGCCGCCAGGTTCTGTGGCACGGTCAACGCAGAGGTCAGCAGGGAGGTCGCAGAGGTCATCAGGTCAGAGGTCACCAAGGGATTAGAGGTCAGCGGGGGCCGAGGCCCGAGGGTTCACATACGTTAGCAGCGGTCAGTGTGCAGGGCCGGAGATCAGCGTGGGGACACAATATTCACTTTTAATATGCTATTCTACTTGAGATATCCTTTCCACCTCCCACAGTGCAGCTCCATTTCCCTCTCCTACTTCCCATCAACTCCATTCTGCCTTTCAATATCGCCCTTGTCTAGCTGTTATCTAACATTTCAGTTCTCCCACTTTCTCCAAATCCCTCCCGTCTTAACGCCTCCCAATTCTGCTAGAGCCCCACACATTCCTTTCCGTCTCCCTCTTCTCCCCTTCCCTTCCATCCACCCATCCCCTTCCCCGTTCACTCACGATGACGTCGAACTTGGCGTAGATGTGCGTGAGCTTGTTGTCGTCGTCGACGATGGGCAGTGCGGAGACGCGTCGCTCGACGAACTTGGTCAGCGCCTCGATGACGGGCGTGTCGGGCCGCGCCGTCTCGATCTTGTCGAAGGTGCCGATCCGCAGCTCGCCCAGCGTCCGGCTCAGGAACGACGGCCGAGGCAGGTTGTGCAGCTGTGGCCAGAGTGCAGGGCGAGGTCAGCACGGGGAGATAGAACAGACCAAAACTATGTGACAACTTCACATTCAACATTACTACAAATGGAACGGTGAATAGCATGGAGTAAAGTGTTGGACTTTGTTTCATGGTAATGCACACCCGCAAGCATTGTGTTGCAGTCTATAACTCACATAGTTTGAGAGAGAACGTTTGAGGGCAAAAGTTTGTGTTTGTTGTAACTTGCGTATAGACAGAGGAAGCGCAGTATCCGTTTGTGGGTGTAGTATAACTCACGTATAGGCAAAGGAAGCGCAGTATCCGTTTGTGGGTGTATTTTGACTCACGTATAAACAGGAAGCGCAGTATCCGTTTGTGGGTGTATTATAACTCACGTATAGACAGAGGAAGCGCAGTATCCGTTTGTGGATGTATTATAACTCACGTATAGACAGAGGAAGCGCAGTATCCGTTTGTGGGTGATGATGTAGAGCACGTCCCCGGAGACGGGGTCGATGACCGGCAGCCGGTGGATGCGGTTCTGGAGCAGCATCGTGATGGCGTCGTACAGCGACGCCTCGGGCTCGATGAAGATGAGGGGTTTGCTGTCCGACTCGAGCACCGCTACGGGGCACAAGGGGAGGGCGGAGGTCAGATGGGTCAGGGGTCAGAGCGGGGTCAAACGTCAGAATGGGACCAGAGAAGGAAGCACAGTCGGAGAGGCTTGTAATTGTAAACTCAGTAAAAGGTAGCTGATATAGATTTGAAGGCATATTTGGACAGCAGTTTGAAATGTCTGCACTTAACTTCACGTCAGATAATATCCCGATAGCTCAGAAAATGTGTGAAGAACTTTAAGACAGTACTCGCACAGAAACAATACGGTGCATCTGCATCTAAGTGCATCTAAGGGTCAAGTCAGGTCAACTGGAAGACGCTCATCAGGACTCGTGCCAAGAGAGGCGATGACTAGGTAGAAGTAGGTAACGACAGGAGCGCGTCCAAAGTAAGCCTGTACCTGACTCACGGCGCTAGTGTCCTATGGTTTGAGCCTACCCTCACAGAGGGGGTTTGTTACCTGCCCCAATTAATCGTCCAGACAGTCTGGCACCGCCGCGATGAGCGGACATACCGAGCGGGCCAAATCTGGCTAATGCACGACAGGAGATAGATGAGTCACGGCCAGTAAATTATTAATAAAATACACACGGATCAAACAAAGAGAAACGAGCCGGGGAGAGGAGGATAAATTTACACCGCTTCAACACTGCTACACGGGGAATACCTCCACTGCAGAGGTGCCGCTGCGGACCAGAGATAAGCCGGTGCTCTTTTCGTTATTACATTTTCTCTCTGCCGTGACTCTATGCCGTCGCCAGGTGGTGTCGGGTGAGTCTGATCCCCGCCTGATGTACTGCAGTGGGGTCCTCGTTCTGTCCCAGGTAATCCGACCCACCCGCCCACGCCGGGGCCGCGGACAGTCCACAGTTTATTAGGCTCCGGCGGTGCAGAAATTAGCCGTGCGGGCTACGCTGAAATGAATGCGCGGCTTCGAAAACAGAGCAAATGCCTCAATATCACAACTGAATGTGCGTGTGGACCTGAGCTGACGCACATAAATCGGTAATGTAATTCAGAGTCGCCTCGACCACGCGGCACCTATCTCATCGCTGCCGAGATGAGTAGAATTTATGACAGTGAACTGAGACCCCTTGCCGGCAGTGACTCACCCGTTCAGACCACCCACCCATGGGGTGACACGCGCTTACCATAATCGTTACTGATTAAGTGACAACGGCCCGTATAGAGTCGCACAATCTATTCATCATTGGCCGCTTATCCTCGCATTTACATGAATTTACATATCTTCTCTGAGCCAATCAGATATATGAATGATATTTGAATATTTGACGCGGTAGCACACAAGGGCCATGTTTTGGCCTACGCAGCTGACCATGGTTCCAAAAGGTCGCATACCAGGTCAAACAAAGCCGAAGGCGCTAGCAGAAGTCAGATCCCATCGTAAATAATCCTGCAGGTAGGTACCAGTTCCAAATGCCTTTTTGTCACAGACGGTAAAAACTTGTTTCTAATCCAAGCACCCCTCTGAATTTGCCCCATTGGATGTTAATTTAAGTGAATATATTGACTAACTAGCCTAGTACCGCAAGTGGCGCTACTTTTAAAACTACCAACATGAATGAACGGTACGCAGTGTCCGTGAACGAATAATGGACCCAACTAGCAAACCGCTTCTTCGAACATACGAGCATCACACGGCCTTGTGGCAATCAAATCACGCGATGCAACTTTCACGAGGGTCATTTGTGGGTAAGTGTGCACCGTGCATGCACTTTTGCTGTCTGAAACAACGAACGATGCACCTGAGCTGATAACAAAGGCTGCATTTTTGGGAAGCACTGCCTCAGAAATTCTTTGCAGCATTATCCTGATAAATGCATCAAAAATAGCACTAATAAAGGCCGAAACGGGAGTGGTATAAGCGAACAATACCCGTCGATTTCAAACCGAAATACTGCGTCACAAACAAGTAGGAAAATATGGTAAATGAGACCCACTTTGTCAACAAATGACAGCTGAGCGAGCGTCCATTGCAGCAGACGCCTCAGTCCACACAGGTGGGTGACACAGACCGCGCCCAGACCAGGTCAGGCTACGTCAGGTCAGCTCAGGACAGGCCAGGCCAGCTCAGGTCAGGTCAGCTCAGACCACCACTCTCGTTCAAGCTGTGACACCCGGGGCAGGGTGATGCCATTGCCGCCTCTATCCGCCACCTCCCTGCCTCAGGGCTCCCCCCACACCTGAAAACGGGGACGGTGTTGGCTGATGAATAGTTGCCATGGCAGCGGCTGGCACGTACCGTGTTAACATTCCGATTTATCGGGACTGATCGGCACAGAGTGATAGACAGACAGCCAACGGGAAGCGGCGGTCGAAATCGACTGCTAAAAACCACTGATGCTCAGAGGCATTGTTCATTGTTCAACTCGAATGATTTAATAGGCAGTGAGAGCCGTCATCAATTCACAAGGCATCGCGATTATGCGTCGCCGATGAAAGGGATGGGAAAATCACGCTCCGCAGACCAAACCCAGCAGAACATAAGACTACTGCGCGGCACAATCGGTCATGGCATGAGTCATAAACCAAGCAAAATCCTTACGGAATGATTGGTGAATCATTATTGGAGCGTGCAGCCAAACGACATAAATTATTTCCCAACTAACGCCACCAAATTGACGTCATAGGACGCCAAAGAGGTTGCAGACAATGCAGCCAGCACCCGAGCATTACAATTTCACCAGGATTCGTGGAAAACGGAATCTAAGCACCCCAGCGATTCCCGGAAACAGCGCTGCCTGGACCAGACGGGTGCATAGGGGCTGCGTCATGCCAGCGAAGAAAGACATCTTCGCCGCACTTCTCTAGCTAAATCCGCCGGGAGTACCGGGAGCATCAGGAGTATCAGTTGGCAACACAGGCCAGCGCTCCCTGCCTATTACTAACCCGATTTTTACGTAACTCCCACGATTACACGTAACAAATAATCCAAATAGCATATCGTTACATAAGTGGCATTGCAGTCGCAAACGCTCGAGATGAAAGCCGTAATCTCTGGGTTCATGCCTATGTCGTGCACCCGTTATCTAACCTACCTATGCCTCTATGGGATTAGCAGTAAGCTCTTCCGTTGCTCTACCACGGAGGTCATCAGATGGCCGATGAGCGGTACCAGGCGCACGGGGAGGGATCAGTCCGGATTTACCGCGGGAGGTAGGGGTGGGGAGTGGGTGGGGGGGGCAGCGCCGGACCGAACCGTACCCGAACCCCGGGTGGGCTCCCAACGTCCGAGCCAGCATCCGCTGCTCACTATGGTAATGTTGTCGCAATATTATCTCAGCAAGGGTCAGCTTTTAGCGCCTTGCAGTGGGTAGTCGGTCACTGAGTGACTTTCGCACTCACCAAAACTAAGCACCTCAATATACCTATTGCAGGCACGTAGCTAGGATTTGGCCAAGGGAGGGGCGGAGGAATCCCGGGGGCCTCCTTTCTACAGGGGGCCTCCTCCCTAAAGGGGCCTCCTTTCTACAGAGGGTCTCATGCCTACACAATTACATATACAACATAATGCATTTACTTTTGTTCAGCTTTCATATGGCAAGCGCACTGGTATGTTTCTTTATTCTTACCGCTGCAGGCTGCAGCGGTAAGAAACATACGCATATCACAAGTCTCCGAGTGGCATGATAACGGGCAAAAAAAAAAAAACTCGGGCGCCGGCGGCGGCCGGACCGCAGCAGGAGGGGGAGGATCTGCGAGGAATGGGAGGATACTGGATGACGGTCAGAGTAACACTTGGTGTATTATCATATATCGTTCAAGCGCTTAACCGTATTCCGGGCGGGCTCTGAAAGACTCTGAATCGGGCGGGGGCCTTTTCTGGCCCCCGTCAGAACTCGAAAAGCACGAATCGTAGCGACAAACGGCAAGGGCGTTTGATAGTTCGTTGAACGACTTACAACTTTTGTAAACAACTTTTTTTTGGGTCAGGTCAATATTGAGGTCGCCAGAGGTCATAACAAATATCATGGTTTATAACGACCTACATAGATAGGTCAACTTCAAAATCTAACCTAGGAAAGTCACGCTGGGTACCAATCGACGCGTCATGACCAGGCGAACGGTTTGGTACACTAACAACTATTTAGCCCCATCATGTCGTGATTTATTGGCTAAAAACTGTTGATGACCTCACCTCACCTCAGATGATCCTTCCCGGTGCTCCTGTCAGTAAATGCCACCTGGGTGCTTACAGATCAGATAATCTGACGTAATTCAGAAAGAATTGGGTGGTTTTGACTCGTTTTCTCGAAGCAGGACACAGTTCATTACCTATATTTTCCAATAGGCTTGTCACGATTCTGACCTTACTGACGTCTGCAAGATTGAAACTATACGGTTATCAATTCTTTCTGTGTGAATTATGCCACGTTTACTTGCTGTAAGTAACACATGGTTTCGTTAGTAAATTTTCCTAGGTCCAGGTGGTTTGCCTCATTTACGCCGTAGATGAAACAAACAATCGATGGATAGGTATAGGTATATTAAGTTCCCGGTCAAATAAATTATTATGAGTTGTGCGAAGCATGGCTATGGGAATATCACCACGGTCTATTAAATGGTTTGGGTAATTGCATCCATCGTAAAAATACCAACACAGCCACAGGTATATATTACAGAAATGGGCTGCTGTGTTCATGCATTAACCCGCGCCCTGCCGGGGGGTGTTAAACACCCCCCTGCAGTTTTCCGTGAATATCTAAAAAACGGCGACGCGGCACACTTTATTCTACATCATTTCTACACATGTTGTGAAAATTTCAGACCCTGGTCACTTAAGGTCAGGTCACCAGGTCAGGTCAAATGACCTCACTACATAAAAAGTTTTAATGTCTGCCAAAGGTACACGGAGTGACCAAACGCTTTGAAACTTTCAGAGATGCAAATGCACAAGAGCGACAAAATGCAAAAAATGTATGTCTTGGAATTTTGATATCGATGACATAAGGTCAGGTCAATTTTGCGACCTTAAATTGAAAGTCGCCTTTTTAGACGGAAGTCATTATAAACACTCTAAAACACTGAATTACTAGTATCTTCGACACATTGAACATGAAAATGGCACCCGTGACCCTTTCTATAACCCTGAGGTCATCTCAGGTCACGAATGGTATCTGACTGTTTTTCGCGAATAACTTTTGATAGAGGTATGCTAGAGCGATGAATACACCTTAGTTGTGTTTGGCTCGACGATACGGATGGACTGATATGGATCTTAGCCCTTATCGGTCAGGTCATGACCTTGACCTGAGGCCAAATTTTCAAGTTGACCTTTCAAGGTCAATTCATAGTTCATTCCACACGTCTGGACGAGAGGAACACGATGCTGGTAAAGGGAAGTTCGTGCAAATTTTGAGACGAAAGTTATCGCCGAAAACTGGTTTCCGAAAATATCGGCCATTTTGGCAGTTTTTGCGGCCACTGCAGGTAAAACCGTTGACGGGAAAACCGCTGACGGCACGCGGCATGATTTCTCTGAGCGCATTTATACAAATAATTTGTCTACATAGAATAGGGCCTTCTGTTTACAGAGGACCTCCTCCCCTGTCCCTTCCTACAGTGGGCGGCGACGCGGTTGGGAGTCTATTCTGTACAGTTTCCTGAGTTCTCAGTTTTCACTATAGTGAGAACTGATAACTCTCTATAGAGAGTAGCAGGGACCAGAAGCCAGAAGGTAATTAGCTCACAGTGGGCCTCCACTCTATGTACTTAATATACGACGCTGTCTTTGACTACCGGGGGCCTCCTGCCCACAGAGGGCCTCTTATCTACAGAGGGCTTCCTCTCTACAGATTGCCTCTTATCTACAGAGGGCCTCCTCTCTGCTGAGGGTGTCTCTCTCTCTCTCTCCAGAGGGCCTCCTTTACAGAGGGTATCCTCTCTACAGAGGGCCTCCTCTCTAGTCTCTACAGGGACCTCCTCTCTACAGAGGGCTTCCTATCTATGTAGGGCCTCCTCTCTTCAGAGTCTCGTCTCTACACAGGACCTCCTCTATACAGAGGACCTCATCTCTGCAAAGGGCCTCCTCTCTTCAGAGGGCCTTCACTCTACAGAGGGCCTCCTTCCCACAGAGGACCTCCTTTCTACTGAGGGAATCCTCCTCTACAGAGGGCCTCCTCTCTTCAGACGATCTCCTCTCTACAGAGGGCCTCCTCTCTTCAAAGGGCCTTCTGATTTCAGACGGTTTCTTCTTTACAGAGGGCCTGCTCTCTACAGAGGGCCTCCTTTTTACAGAGGGCCTCTTTTTTACAGAGGGCCTCCTTTTTGAAGAGGGCCTCCTCTCTACAGGGGGTCTCCTCTCTAAGGGGGCCTCCTCTCTACAGAGGGCCTCCTACCCACAGAGGGCCTCCTGTCTACTGAGGAGTCAGAGGGGCCCTAGCGGTCAGACACAGACACTAGTGGTTATTCACAGGAGATGAGAAGGGCCCTAGCTGTCACTTGTCAGGCTGGTCAGAGGGCCCTGATTGTTCTGACGTCATTTTTTAGATTCCCGCGTGAATTTCGTTCGCCTCCGACGTGATTTTGGCCAACGTGGGCCTTCGGCCCACGTTGGATTCAGGCCGAAAGGATTCAGGCCAACGTGGGCCTTCGGCCCACGTTGGCCTGAATCCTTTCGGGGGGCCTCCTGAAAACCCCAAGGGAGGGGCGGGCGCCCCCCCCCCCGCCCCCCCCCTTGGCTACGTCCCTGACCTATTGGAAATGAGCGAAAAGTGATTCTCAGAGAGGAAACCAATCCAAATCACCCTAAAATCCTCTCCCCAGTAACTCACTCCTCCACGTTTCGAGTTTATGCCACTCCCATTAACTCAGTCATCCACGTCTCGAGTTTGTGCCCCCTCCCCTGTGACTCACTCCTCCACGTCTCGAGTTTGTGCTCCTCGAGCTCCTCGATCCGTTCGTCCGAGTTACGGTAGTACATCTGCAGGATCCGGATGAAGTCGGTGATGGTGAGCATGCCGACATACTGCTGCTTCGAGCTGTCCCACAGCGGTGCTGCTCGTACACCTGTGCAGGCAGACAGACATACAGACAATACCGGGTCAGCACAGTCGGGTATAAAGTTAGCGAACAATAACAAATCGGCCAGAACAGCGATACATTATGAACAAGAACAGGCTAAAATTGAATGGGAATGGGTGGGAGGGAACACATTCGATGGTGGCGGAGACGTATATTTCCTTCTTCAGAGCATGTTCAAAGGTGTCTTGGCACGATAAATCAGCCATCATTTACAAACAAATTCAACGGACTGCAGTTTTTGAAAAACCGCTTCCGGAAGAAGCCGACCCGCCTCGCCCACGACATCGCTGTTTCATTCAAATCGCTCAATCATCATTATCCACCGACAGTGCGACACACTCCCCCCTACCCCCACGGCCCACCTCAGGTTCACCTCCCTCCCCCCTCTCCCGCTCCAGTGACAGACTAGCCCATCACGCCATCAGTCTAGCACGGACTCTCACCCTGCAGACTTACGGACTCTCCCCCTCACTTTGCAGACTCTCAATCCGCTCGACACGGGTACGGCAGGGGGCGCCCCGTGCCCGTCCCAGACGTACCGTTAGCACCGTGTCACCGCTATGCACAATGACGTCACCATGCCAAAGAAGGGCACAGCACCGGTCGAGGAGGGAGGAGGAGGGAGGGAGGGAGGGAGGGAGGGAGGGAGGGAGGGAAGGAGGGAAGGAGGGAAGGAGGGGAGGGGAGGGGAGGGGAGGGGAGGGGAGGGGAGGGGAGGGGAGGGGAGGGGAGGGGAGGGGAGGGAAAGGGGTAGACACGTGGGTCGTGGATGGCAAGGGAAAAGTGGTGGCGAGAGCGACAGTGCAGATTGTGGCAAGGGGAGCGAGCGAGCGAGTGAGTGAGTGAGTGAGTAGTGAGTGAGTGAGCGAGAGCTAAATATGCTAATGTAACCTTAATTCACGAATGGGATGCATACCATATTCTTTTTTTTTTTGGGGGGGGGCGGGGGATTAAAAAGCAACGTGCCAACCAACAGCACACACAAATCAGATTGTTGGCAGAGACTACACCCAGGCACACCATCCACCGAACCACACTAACAGCACCCCCCCCCTCCCCCAGTCACCCCGCCCATGCAATCCCAGCACAGCCAACCACCCATCAGCCCGCAGTTTCTGACTCTAATCCGATCGAACGAGAGGTGCCATCACCAGCCGCGGGGAAGCCGGACAAAGCCAGGTCACAGCGGCTGTTCCAGTCACGTGCGCCAATAGTGCCCCGTTAACGGCCCGCTGAGGGGTTTCAACACGCTGAGTGGGCGAGCGAACTAGTGCGGGGCTAAAACGGTGCTCGGAGACTGCTGAATCCAGGCAATTAATTTGAGAAGACAATTGCCATTTAACAGACTATCAGCTATCGGTAAAGACGTGACTATCGAGCGAAAGCAGATTATAAAGCATTGCATATAAAACAGATTAAAATTAAATGTTCAGCTCACAACGTACAACCCCACCACGCTGTTAGCAGGCGCTAAAAGCCAAAGGAGAAATTGGCGCTGTACAACAAAGACACGCTACACGATGTAGGTGACAGCAACACTGACAGCACAGTGACATAGGCAGTGGCAGTGACAGTGACAGTGACAGCGGCAAACAGCTGAACGAGCCGTGCAGAAACGGACCGTAACGCCCAAATCGTCACATCGTCACGCCGACAGGAACGCGACAGACGCCTGGTGTCGGAATGCAGAAACGGGGGGCGCTCGGCATGTGCCGACAGAAATAGAGAAACAAGAAATAGAGATAACGTATCTCTAGGCAAGACTGACTCTCTCAACACGTCAAAAGACCACATACATGCATTGTGTACTGCATGATCTTTTATCCAGAGTGTACAAATTAAGTGAACTATTAAGAAAATTCAAAGGACATAAAAGTCTCCAAACAGCCGGCAAGCCGAGGTCTTTTAATTATGCTGAGTCATTACGAAATACAAATGTTATAAAATGGAGACAAATAGCCATCACGGCCCCCAGATTCCGGGATTGGCTATTTTTGGACGTAAAACTGGCTGAATGACTCAAAAATCTGGCACGGGTCATAGTCGACAGTCCAACCCAATTTTAATTACCGAAATAAATACCGGCCGATTCAAACGCCCCTACATGTCCTCTCGACCAAGGAGCACATGGAAGCCGGCAAGTTTTCGGTGAAGTGAGCAGAATGTTGCTCTAGCCCACCATGGCTAATTACCGATCGATTCTCTTACTCAAGGAAATGGGTTTTTAACCAATAACCCAGCACAGCCCACACCGCCGTCACCAACCGAGACTGTCGCCACCGACATCGTCCCGACACGAAGTGTCATGAAGTGACACGAACTGACACCACGGACACCAGCACCGACCTGACACGACCTGACATAACGGGCACCCTCCTGACACGAACAGACACCTCCAAAACCGACTCGACACGAACTGTCATTTTGTGACACCCGTCACCACAGCGAGAGCACTGTCTGACTGAAACGGGCCGTCACCACGCGGTCACACCTCAAGACTGAACTGGGCCACCGAACTGTGAAACTCTAACGTGCCACCAGCAGACAGCAGTAGCACGCAGACAAAAAGGTTCTGGTGGCGGGCAGACCCGAGCCGGCGACTCCACGGCTCATTGGCACTGTCTGAGATTGGAGAAATGGCCGGCACGGGCCGAAAAACAAGGGAGAGCTGGCAGCCGGCACCGCCGGTCGCCGGACGAGCCAGGCGACAGCGTGTCGGGTCCGGGGAATTGGCTGTCGGAGCAGGAAAGCAGAAATGAATGACTGAGAGGCATACAAGATAGGAACTCGGAAACACACAGAAACAATCCATGTTTTCATTTGTACCAATACATTTCTCATTCATAATCAATATAATATAATGTCATGAACCAAATACAGTGGGGATTAAGCAAACAAAGTAAAAAGTAAGCAATGATGGCAATCTCACAAAGCAAGCAAATAAAACATCAGTTTGAATCAAATTTAGGTTAAACTGCGGACGAGTTCATCCAACCGGACCTGAAATAGACGGGCAGACCTCGTCCGCGGATCACGGATGTAGCTGTACCACTTTACGGCCCCAGATCAACCTAATTCACTCAAACTACTCGACATTTACCCTCAGCGGGCCTGACATAAAACGAAATCAATTTGAGTGTGGATAACTATTACACGGAGTGGGCTTATCTGTCCCGCTTTTGGCTTATCCGTGCCGCTTTTGGCAAGATATCACGGCACCGCGCCTCAGCGTCTGAAATCTCATATTCGACTAGCGAGATTAGTGGAATCTCGCCGGTGCCACCAGTCAGCGTAGTCAGATCTGGCGACCTTGATGATATCTTTATATGGGGACATTTTGACGGATTAACAGACGCGCGGCAGAGCAGAGGTCACGCCAGCAGGAAATCTCCGCAGTGAGGGATCATTGTACTATCGAGCTTTTGCAAAATATTCCCGATCCCCACGCCAAGTCGAGAGCTTTATGTTGATATCTTGCAGACTGCAAGATTAAGAAGTTATGGGTGCTTCAGACGAAAATCTGTCCGCGGACGGCTTTGCTGGCGCGGATATCGGGTCCGATCGGCCTTGGGAGGGTGGGACGCGCTGGCGGAATGGATTGCGATCGACATTTATGTGGTCATCTTCATCGTTTCACCGATTTATCTGACAGGGATTATATGGTAGTCCAGCCACTGGGGCACAACACAGCGTCAATTTTGAGTACGTCTGAAAACATACCACAAAACAAAAACATAAACTGTCGGATTCCAAAACATGTCCCTCCATTAGTTACCAAATATAGCTGCCGATCATTGAAAAGAAATTTTCATTTCACTGGCCATTTTACATGAATACGAAGTAAACCTTCTTTCCACTTACCATTATACACGAGAGCGAAGAAGGCCTTCTTGACGAGTAGCTGGGTGTCGAACACCACCAGCTTCGCCGAGGTGGGGATCAGGTCGTAGCACTTGTGGAACTTGAAGAACTTGATGTATATCTGTGACTCGTCTTCTTCTGCAAGCAGACAAAACACACCGGAATGAATACGTGGCTCTATGAACGACAGACGAATGCAATAACACACAATTGATTGATGACTCGCACAGGAGCCGCTTTCAGACAGTATTTGGCATGCTTATCGGGACTAACGGACGCCCGAATGTAAATAAACCCAACCTACAAAACAACACTGCTAAACAAAAGAACAGCGACTACGTCCAAAACAACATCTTAACGGGAGTGTCATCAACCCGAGGACATAAATATTCAAAATCATCAAATCAAAACACGACATCCACCGGCTAAAACCCCGCACACTCAACCACGAGCACCTCAAGTAAAAACATCGCAATCTAAAACTAGTTTGGTCTCAGATTACTGATCAAGCTTAATCTAAAGAGTCAATCTACCAAATCGGATTCCCCTGATACCTGACGTCTCTAGACGGATAGCCCGGAACACACTGCCAACAGTACAGACCGGTTGTAAATATGCATGTGGCATGCATTTCTTGTGTACCTAATGACCCCAGACGGCCCGTCCCTGCCAGCCCTGCTGACATCTGCCCAGCGAACAGCAAGAACACTAATTACCACATGTTTGCAACCCTCTCCAATTGTTGCCGCAATTCACAGCACTAGAACAAACACGACAGTACCGCCCATTGCCAACATAGCACTAAGCGACTGGGACAAAACGGGGCAACGAGAACGAGGAAACGAGGAAACACACTGTAGCGGCAGAGCCACATTTAGAGAAGCACCTCCCGGAGACCAAGAAATCGTTCAGACAACCGTCGCAGGCGACACATCGACGGCGACGAAACGGCGAACGGGCTGACATTCTAATCGAATCCGACCATCGCGAGAAGGCTGTCTGGACCAGACCATACAGTTAACTGGTAGTTTGTGGAAGACAGCAGAGGCAGAGCGAGCGATAGAAGATGCAACTTGTTGGACAGTAATTGCATCGGTGAAGGAACACGGAAGTGCCAGAAGCCAGGACGTTACCACCCGACCGATAAACGAATAGGATCACAGACAAACACTACACAACGCCCGCAATACTCCTAACCAAATCACTATAACAGCATGGCGCGCAATTGAGACGGACGAGCGGGGGAAACGATGACTGAAGCAGATATAACTCGCTTGGCGAGGTAGTCAGACACGTCACAATACGAGTCATCTGGACTCCAGACAGTATTACGCCAGTGGGACGCTGTATACATCAGCCGCTAACCACACCACAGGGATGACGCAATGGTACGGCTCGGTATGTGCAGTGTCGGCCACTCGGCGCCCCCGTCCACGCCCACAGAGCCCCTCCCTCAGAGAGGCGCGGTCTACTTAAAACGCACATCAGGCCTATTCTGGAATACGCGTCGCCTGTCTGGAACACTGGATATGTCCAGGACAGGAAAAGGCTGGAATCAGTGCAAAGGCTATGGACTCGCCAGATAAAGGGACTTGAAGGCAAAGAGTATGGGGACAGGCTACGAACGCTCGACCTTTACTCCATAAAGGGACGACTACTGAGGGCTGACCTGATCAAATGCTGGAAAATCTTCAACGGAAACTGTCCAATACAACCTGCAGATCTATGGGATATCTCCCGTGACACTCGTACAAGAGGTCATCCGTTCAAAATCCGAGTGAGCCGCAGTCAAGTTGACGCCAGAGCCCGCTTCTTCTCCCAGCGTGTCGTCCAAGACTGGAACTCCCTGCCGACCTGGGTGGTCACATCCAAGACACTGAAGGAGTTCAAGTCTGCCTTGGAAACCTGTCTTGGAAGTCGACTATTTGATTATCTCCAGTAGCTGAAAAAGAAACACACCCAATCAATCCTGCCTGTCCCTGGTAGGCGCCCCCTCTTATCAAGCAAGAGTGGGGTTATACGCGCCAGGGACTCCCATCCCGCCCTTGTTCCTAATTCCCTCCCCAAATCCTCACTATCTTGTCTATCCATTCTGATTCAGCTCATTCTCCATATGTTACTCACTTCATCGCACATCTTAGTCAACACTTCTTTTGTTGTTGCAAATTGCACAAAGACTACCTCCATCAGCAACAACTACACCCAAGCAGACGTACCATTCCAACCCTTAACAATTGCACAGTCCAGTTCTGAATGTCCTGCTTATCTATTGTCCGGGTTGGCACGTCTCTCTTCGACACAGTTTCCTGTCTCTAGGTCTCTAATAACCCTACCACCATCTGGGCAATGAGCAAGGAAACCTAACAGGTGAGTTCAACAGGTGAGTGCAATAGTGACGGCCAGGCCACAGACCAGACCAGACCAGACCACAGCACACCACAGCAGACTAGACCAGGCCACCGGCCAGTCCGCAGACCAGTCAGGCCATCCGGTCATGGCCTGGGCAGACAAGCAAAAAATAGCGCTGGTAGTGCTGATTGTCTGCTCATCGGTTCCCAGTATTCTCTCCTAGCGCTGCAGTTTATCCATTCCGAGAAAAAGTGACCCTCTCCTCTGGACCAAGGTGCAGGACGCCACGCTCACATCAAATGTCATATACGTCATATCGCACGTCACATCATACGTCATACAACAACACGAAGAGACCATGCTGCGTTGGCAGTGACTCAGCAAACGCAAAGACGTAGCGCGCGACGGTAATAGGACGCCAAGCTTCCAGAGAAGACTGTATAGGGAAACGATATGTGGATACAGCGACAGACGTCCTGCTGATAAACAGATTGATATGACGGATCGTATGTTGATATTGGTGTAAATCAACCAGTGACGAGTCAGAAACTGGAGTAGTAGCAAGGACCACCAGCGATTCAGCCAGATGATTTATCAACACCCTGATACCCAGCCATATCAAACCAGCGTGACTGACACCAGTCAGATACTGGTATAGCAGCAGCCAAGATTACTTTACTCATAGCAGCAGCCATCCCCGGTCCAGCTATGCACTGCTGTGTCGTATATAACCCCAGAACCGAACCAGACTGCAGCCGTTCAGACCAGACTGTATGTGCGGACCAGACTGCTTTCTACCGAACCCAGACTACCGACCGTCACCCAACGACAATCGAGACCTAACACCTGTCGCCATGGGGACCATACTATCCGCCGCTGAATACTGAATACTCAGCTCACTGTTGGTCACTACTGCTCAGTGGCAGTGCTGCTGATTATAGCGCTGACCGTGCTGACTGATGATCACCAACCGCTGACCGGTCCGATCAGCAGCGTCTGACGTCTGGCGTCAGCCGGCGCGCCCAGCTGGTTACCCGACGGCGGTCTGGCAGAGTGCCACGCCCCTCACCTCCCCTCTGCCACGCCCCCTCACCCCCCCCCCCTGCCGCCGCCCAGAGTCCCGAGAACCGTCCCAGCCCGGGCTGACCAGTGAGACATCGAACGAACGGCCAGTCAGTACAGACCGGCAGCGATCAGCAGAGACGACCAGCACAGACGGCCAGCACATAGCAGTCGGCACAGGCTGGGAATGACCAGGGCAGAGATGCGGCGGCAGTCAGTCTACCAGGCGAGAGTTGGCACAGGACTTGCAGGCAAGCACCTTACTGAAACTGCTACTACTGAAACTAAACGGCTGGAGCTGCTGCTGCACGCTCCATATCCCGCCGCGCTTCTCCGAAGGAACCAGCACACACCGCATTCTCGTGCCAGATTCCGTCACACCCGGTGACGACTCTGTGACCGGACCTCCACGATGGCATCTTGGAGGGCGGGAGCGTCGCCAAACTTCGACCGGCAAAAACCACAGCACGAGCCGCATCGCTCCAATTATGTGCCCTCGAGAGCGCGACGGTTTTCTGCAGCTACCCCGTGAGACGAGACCACCTATCAAAAGTCTGAAAGCAGACCAGTCTACTAGGTCCGTCCGGGCTAGATCAGGACCAGCGCAAGTCAGATAATTCCAGGTCTAATGACGAAAAGTAACGACAGAGAAGGCCAGGTCAGACGAGGTCAGTCAATTTGGATCAGGTCGGTGTCAGGACGGTCGCACCTGCGGCCAGCTGCTGGATAAGCTCGTCGTCAGTCTCCTGGTCGGGCCGGTCCCACTCGCTGATCTGACTCAGGTGGTACGTATCGCCGTCGGGACGCTGCTCCAGCTCAAAGAAGTTGGAGTAGATGTTGAGACACAGCTGCGGCATGGCGGCGGGCCGGAGCGGCCCCCGCGCACAAGGCGCGCCCGCCGCGCACTGACCGGTCACCGGGCCGCCGTCGGCAGCGGGACACGGGTGTGCCGGGGCTACAGGGTTCGCGAGACACCCAGACGCCGCCAACACGACACTGCAAGTCACCCAGCCGAGTCACTGGCGCACGGACGTCAACCATTCATCACTGAGAGCTCGAAATCCCGGCCGATATCGTCCCGTCCACCGCAGGTCACAACACGCCGCCGTCAGAGAGGGCGCCACCGTCACATCACGTGTCACCACCTTGAGAGGTCACCGCGGGTCACCAGAGGCCGCCGCCGGACATCGCTCCGCGCCGTCGCCGTCGCGCGCTCTATCGACGGTCGCCGATGCCGACGCGGCGACCAGCGGAGGAGGCACCGACGAGCGCGCGCTAAAAATACGGGCGCCCCGGCGGCCGCGCGCCCCGCCAAGAGGAGGTGATGCAGCCGCGGGCGGCGGCCGGCTGACGGGGCGGCGGCACAGCCTCCTCCAAGGCCGGTCAGCGCGGCCAAGGCCAGCGCACCGCGGGGCAGCCGGCCGGCCGGGTCGGCGTGCCAGCCGTGTCACCGGTGAACAACAAACAGCCGTCGGGACGCCCGGTGACGCCACTGTCACCGCTGGCGCCGCCCCGCCGTCCTCCGACGCGTGGCGGGTGCTGACGCCGAGCCGGGGGCCGGTGGGGCGGGCAGGGAGTGTCGAACGGAGCCAGACTGATCAGCGCACTGAATGGACTCTTAAAGGTAGTGTGCCAGCTTTCTTGGACCAAATGGAGTTAATGACCCGGATAAGGAGAACCGGATTTTTAGAACTTATCCATACCTTCAAAACTTATGAAAACGTCTTAAATTCTTCAAATTTTGAGTACCCCAGTGCGAAATTCGCCCCGACGGGTTGTCGGTCGTACCCCAACCACATTTCACACCACTATGAACAATAAATGCACACACTAAAATCGCTATTACCGATAGGCTCATCCAATCAAGTTTCGATAAACCCGTTCATCATCATCTCCTGCGGTTTCGAACACGCCTGTTAGGTGGCTTCTGATGCTCGTCGAGGTCGGAATTTCCAAATACGCGTGGTGCGTCGGGCCGCGCGCTCTGACTTCGGCCAAGAAAAATGCGTCAGCTGATCATTGTCATTTCTGCCACTTGCGTGTGGTGTAATGGGGTCATAACTTAAGAGACGGCTGTTTCATATCAATTATTTTACATAAAATCATATTTCAAACCACAAATTAATATTCGACAGCCAAATTTAAGAAACAATACCAATACAGGCTTACAGTTTAAGGCTCGACATTGTGTTGTCTACGATTAGACAGCTGATAACTCATTCCCGTACGTCCTATGGTCGTAACACTATAATGACCTTTGCTTATTGTCACAAGTGCGCCGCATTCGCGATTGTTGCCCGACGCCTGTTTGCAGGTGAGCCCACTACAGTTGTTATACATATCTAAAAACCGATAAACGTTTAGGCGAAAAAGGCACTATTCCAGGCCCATTTTTGATTTTTTTTTTGCGATATTAGGTAAAAACAGAAGCTTCTTATCCTAGGAAAAATAAAACGGGAAATCTTTCAAAGGTGGCACACTACCTTTAAATATACTACCACACCGAAAGGTGCAGGCAATAATGTCTTACGCTTGGAATACCAGAACGAAAAACGTTCGGTGAATTACCGAAGGATGATGACCCTTCAAAGTTGGTCAACCTCTCTTGGTCGTCACCTAATCCAGACGTTTTCTCACTCCGATCGACACCAGACCCCACTGAGTCTCAGTCAGCGGCGCCACCCCATCTCCCGGCAGGAGGGACGGCCAGGGGACCGCCACCGTGCCGAGTTGGCACCGCCACCGTGTTTATGGAGCGGATAGCAGCTCGGCAGGTCTACACCGAACCGGGCTATTTGTTTAGAATACGGCAGTTCCATTGCATCACTGGGCGCAACCGGACCATGGGGCGCACAGACTGACGCAGCATTGTCAGTTTGTAGTCAGAAAATGGGAGAAGTCGGCGATACGAGCTCTATTGAAAGTCTTTCTGTACATATGGCAGCACGTTTCACAAATTACGTCCAAAACACATCGAAAACCCACCAAATAATGTTGCCTTAGAAGGCAATGCAAGGTGAAAGCGCATCCACCTAGCTGAGACATGTTAAACTTAGCGAGAACCATGAAAGTTACTAAATTCGAAATGCGGCAGGTGGTGATGAGTCAGAGGCGCAAAATGTTGACGGGTAGGTCCCAGCTTCTAATAAACGACCACAACTGACGCCTGACAACGAAGCCTCCGCGTCACGCACAACATTTGGCGTTAATGTCAACAAACTCCGATAATCTCAATCATCGGGTCTCCACAGCAGACACCCCGGAATAAATAGACCCGGGCTCCGCCGGCCCGCCTCAGGCCCTGGTGTCCCCACCTATCGGCGGGACTATGAACTATGGACGGGGCCTGCTGCCACGCCCGCCCGCTGCCCCAGGTATCATCTGAGGCGTTCAACGGAGGGACCACGGCATCCTCCTTTCGCCACACATAATCCTTAGATTAGCATTTGGGTTAGTACGACCTCAGAGCCAGTCAATTAGCAAAACGGAGGGCATTTGCACAAGTCTGGCCGCCTTCGAAAGCCACGCGGCAGCGTTTGTGCGATTATTGGCAGCGGGGAGGGTGTCAAACCGCCCCGGTGCAGCCCAGGCGAGGGACAGAGACCACACGCGGAGGCACAGGAGCGTCCCACGCTGTCACGAGCCTTCCCGTGTGCGCCCCCGACGACCACCCGCGGTAGATCGTACTGTGACGAACTGCGCCCCTACACCGAGCGCTGGAACAATGGAGTGACTTCATCCACGGGAAGAATTGTGCAGATACCCTGAAAGTCATCGATCAGGCGTACTTATATGGCTGAACCAACCTGCTCGATCAAATGGAAGACAATTTTAACACGGAGCGGCAGTGAGGGAACCAAAATAGAGGATTATCGTTGATCAGAAACCAAAACATTAATCGACTGGGCCATTCAACTAGAAAAGTGCGATTTCACGCTGGCAGGCACAGGATGCAGAGTGCACATCGGCGATACCCCTCGGGTATTGAACATACTGGGGAATGGGAACGCGCCCACATTTCCCACACCCCGTTCAGCTCACAGCTGGAAGGACAGCCGCACATTCCCACACAAACCATCTTCACGTCAGAAAGTCTTCTCAAAACAACACTGGAGAGAAAAGATGACAAAAAGCAGACCAATATTATATCATGAACTCCATAATTTCATCCTAAGCATTGAATAAAAATAAAAATGAATTAACTGTAAACACAATATCATTATCACAATGCCAGCCAATTTAGGTGTGGCAGACGGCGAATGCAGACCACGGCATGGCTAATTCGATTAAAAAGAATACTGCGCTCAGCACATGTGAGCGACGCGTTCTCTAGAGGATGCAACGGATGTCGCCGGTATTGCCCTATCGGGAACAACGGTACGGATAAGCGATGGTTTGGCGGGGGCAGCGAGAGCTGGATGTGCCGTCGGAGGGAGAAAGGGGGAAAGAGAGGGAGAGGGAGAGGGAGAGGGAGAGGGAGAGAGAGAGAGAGAGAGAGAGAGAGAGAGAGAGAGAGAGAGAGAGAGAGAGAGAGAGAGAGAGAGAGAGAGAGAGAGAGAGAGAGAGAGAGAGAGAGAGAGAGAGAGAGAGAGAGAGAGAGAGAGAGGAGGGGGCCGGCGCGGCTATTCGTGGCCCCGGTCAAGCTCTGCTCTGACCGGGCCGTTGCGCCGTTCTCTCTCCCTTTCAACTGCGGAGGACGGCGAAAATCAATGCTGAGCGAACCGCGGCGGCCTTCAGCGGCACGCGAGACGAGGCGGGCCCCGGCGACCGGAGGGTAGACGAAACGGGACGGACGGACAGACGGGACAGGGAACAGACGAGGAAACACCGGAAAACAGACGGTAACAGACAGGGGGTTTGCAAGGAAACAGATGGTCGGGATAGTCCCGATGAACGGGACATTGTGACCAACCGGCCGGAGAAATGGCCTAGTCCGACCAGCATAATATGAATATGCAACAGCGTCGCCCATTCGGTGGCGAACGGGTAGGTACAGAAATAGGACTGACACGGGCTGAAGTGGATGAGCAGCAGAACTCAGATAGACATAAGCGACCGAAATAGCCGAACCTTGATCCATAATGTAGGGCTGAACGTTTGGCGCGATACACAAGAGTCAATGAGATGAGCCGAGTGAAATAATCAAGCGGAACGAGTCAAATAGAAACAGCGAATTGGTATGTCGTTTGATCATGGAAAATTAAGCATGGCTCACAAGCAAACCGACTATGCACGAATAGCGTGCCGGTATGATTCACTGACCAATGGCTGCCAAAGAAACGACTGTTGGCCATCAACCAGATTAGGAAATCCCGTAGCTTAGCGTGACGGATCAAAGCTTTCTTAAAGGATTCCTAAATCAGGCGTACCACCAAAAAACGTAGGCATATAAAAGCAATGACAGGGGAAACACCGGTAAAACAGTCTACTTAGTGCAAACAAGTTCCTACCTACAATCGAAACACGCCTTTCGAAAGATAACCGGCCTACGAAACGTTTCTATTCTTAGCACTACTAAGTTGAAAAAGAATTATGACGAAAAAGAGAAGTGGTCGGTGATTTCTATTCGTCTGCAAGCATTCCAGAAAACGACCTCTCCAGCCCCGAGCCTTCGGTTGCAAAAGGTCACGGCCCCGTGCTGGGGCCGCCCGGGGGCCATTCCGGTTGGCCCTACGAGCCACGGCGTGCCTATTATCCCCGGATGGTGCAGCTTCCCACGGTCAAAGTCGCCGCCCTGAGAGCTCGGAGACTAAGCCCAGAAGGCACATCGGGGCTCCCTCGTATGGCAAAGGACGTGGATAATCCAAGTGGCTTTTTGTTTTATATGTAGTGTCTGTAGCTGGTGTAGCTGGTGAAGCACTGCTTTGTATTTTTCTTCAGAATATGCGTCCAAAAATTACTCAGTGTTGAAATAGTTAAATCTGCGTTGTGATAAGATTCATCTCCATTACAACATGAATGAAAATATAGAAAATGTGGATAATAATAATTCCAACCGATTATTATCCCAACTGGATACACAGATTGGGGCCAATCGTAGCCCGTCACACCAACCTCCCACTAGATGCGTTCTACTCACGGTTGAGCCTGGCCCACGCGAACAGCCGGAAGCCGTTCTTCAGCACGTCTCCCGGGTACATCAGCAGGATTGTCTCGAAGTCGTCAACCAGGGCGCGCCGCAGTATGGCGTGTCGGATCGGCTCGTTGACCCTCTCCTCCTCCTCATCCTCGCCCTCCGTGGCGGCCGGGAGGTCGGGACAGGAGCGGCGCCAGCGGCGCAGGTGCAGGAAGTCGGCGCTGATGTGACGCCGCAGCGCCTGCCGGCGCAGCCACTGCAGAGCCGTCTCGCGGTTGGCCGGCCGCGGCGGAGTGCCTCCGCGTCGCTCTGGGGACCGCGAGGCGCTCCGCCGGCGCCGCAGCAGGGAGAGCATGGACACCTCGTACGCTGCGGCCGACTCGGAGAGTCTCCGGCCGGGCATCGAACGGCGCCGGTAGCGGTGCTTCTTCGGGTCGGGCGCAGTGCCGCGGCGCCACGTCTGCCAGCGCGGCGGCTTCCCCGGAGAACCGACCACGGAAGAGTTGAACTTCTTGAAGGCCTTGGCCACCGCCTGACCCATACCGGAGATCGAGGGTTGTTCAGACGGATCGTCGCGTGGCGGTTTAGAGGCCGCGGTACCAGCGGAGTCGGTCTTCTTTCCCGACATGGGTGTAGACGGTTTGCCGCGAGTGACGCCCTCCTCGGGACCGGCAGGGAGCGAGGACACGGCGTCCTCGCCAGCCTCCACGGGCGGGGTGCCGCTCCGGGTCGACGGCGCCGCGTCTGGAGGCGAGTGGTGCACCCCCTTCTTGAAGAACTCGGCCACTGCATGTCCGATGGTATGGTGGGAGTGGGAGCGCAGAGCAGCGCCCTCACCAGCCTCAGACCCTGGCGGGGAGTAGTGGCCCTTCTTGAAGAAATGAGACACCGCGCTCCCGATGGCTGAATGCGACATTGCACGGCCGATCGTCGAGTGAGAGAGCGTGTGGCCCAACTTGTGCCGATGATGCTCTTTGTGATGTTCCTCAACATATTCACGCGCCAGCGGCGAGCCCACTTCCACCTCATCCACGAACGAAACTGACTTGGGCGGCGACGTGGCGGCCTCCCAGAGGGAGAGCTTCTTACGGAAGGGCAGGTGCCAGTGGCCGTGGGGTCGGTCGCGCTCGCCATCATCCTCGGTGGACCCAGAGTAGCGCTGCGGCGGACCGTCGCCTCCGTCGGCCACCGACGGTGAGAAGCTCACATCCGACGGGCTGCCCACGCTGCCCTGGTGCGCCAGCATCGACACTGACGAGGTGGCGGACCCCGTGTCCGGCCGACGGGGCGTGACGCCGGCCGGCGAGCGCTCCTTGGGCCTCGCGCCAGTGTGCTCTTTGGGTCTGGCCCCACCGCACTCTTTCGAACTGGTGCCCTGATGTTGGGGAGTAGAATCCGAGGACTTCCTCGGAGCCACCGCGCTGGCTACCGTCTCAGTCGCTGACACGCTGGATGAAGTAGATGGCGACTTCGGTCCTTTGGCTACCACAGTCTGCTTGGGTGAAGCTCGAGATGGTGATAAAACACTGGTCGGAGAAGAAGCTCCAGGTGATGATGACTTTCTAGGTGACGATGATGTCGCGGCTGGCAGTGATGTCGCTGGCAGTGGAGGCTGAGCTGCCGCTGATGAAGCCGGGGAGGGTGGCGAGGATCCAGCCTGCCGCGCCCCCACGGAGATGGTCTGAGTATCTTTAGGTACTGGCGATGAGGCTCCAGACGGTGACGTAGCACTACCTGATGTGCTGTGAGCGGCAGCGTCACCACCTTCACCACCGCTGGGCGCAGCGCCGTCACGAACACCAGCACTTGTTCCCTGCACTGACTCCGATCCCTCACTGACCGCTGGCGCCGCCGGCTCGGAGGCCATTTTTCGCAAGTCGAGGACAATACCCGAACCGGAGCGGTCCGCAGCCGAGCGCGGTCAGCGCGTCACGCGAGGAGCCGTGCACCGAAGAACGAAACAAACGAGGAAACACCGCAGCCGAGTCGCTTCACACCGGCTCACTAAAACCGCAACGTCCCGGCGCGCGGCCACCGAGCGCTCGGCGCCAGCGCGCAGCCCCGCCGGGACGTCGCCCACTCGCGACTGACGCCGACTGCGACCTCGACCCGACCCCGACTGGGTCACGTGGTGCGCCCACCGCCTGGGGCAGCGGCCGCCGCCACTCCACCCAGCGTCCCACAGACAAAATCCACTCACAGACCGAGTCCTGTATGTACACCAACCCAGTACCGACGTCCGACTGGACCACCGCGGCGGGGCAGAAGCTCACCAGACCTGTCAGCGCGCAACCCCCGGACCCCCCGCCCCCCTGTCGCGGTCGCGGTCTTTTCCATCGCGGCCGCATTGTTCGACGAGGAATTTTCCGGTGGGAAGGGCGCGATGGTCAAGTCCAATATCCATTACAACAGGGAAGCGAGTGTCTGAAAATAAAAACTACGTTATGCCACATATGTCTGCACAGTGCACACCACTCCTCTCTCGCACCAAGCTGCTGCTGCTGCCAGCCTTTCCGGAAAATCCAATTCGGTTAGTCGGATTACTTGTGACGTCATTAATCTTGATGACGGGTTAAAGTACGACGCATTATGAACCGTCCGCAGCCGCATGATTCACGCAGTAAGTGCATATGAAAAGCGTCAGGAGCCTCAGCATCTGACTGGTAAGTGGTTAACTTCCGATTATTTTTAATAAAATTTGTGAAATTGGCTTCAAAGATGACCCATCTAAATGCGTTGGAGAGTATCAGAAAAGTAATTGGAGTAAAGCATATTACCATTCTACCTAGCAGACACACGAGAAGCAACCGTTTCTGCCAGAAGCCCACGCATCACCCATAATCTGCTCCCATCAATTACCTTGAATGTCCTTGGTTAATCCATCCAGACTGTGGTAAAAGTAGACGAGACGCACCAAATTCAATTGTCTCCTAACCAGGAAATGCGACGGGGAAACACGATATCACGCACGACAAAGCCAGACGTCACCAAGCACCTGACAGTTGCAAACAGCGCTGAACACAATGAGACTGGTTTGTCATGCACTGAAGCGTCAGTTCACCTGTTGCAGACCGAAGGAAACTGCCAAAGTCGTGGCATGGCGGTGCAACAGGGACATGCACATCATCTAGCGCACAACCGGCCCCACAATCAGGCGATCGAAGTGAAATGGTTGTACTTATCAGGAAATGTTGGAGCCGTAAACCGGCAAGAACCAGTTTGAGGAAGGCGCTATCGTAATGAAAGCGAAATGAAACTGGCCATAGCAAAGACAATGTGTTTTAGTTGAAACAGCGTCGTCCGGAAAAAAGTTATGGTAAACAGATACAGGTACAGAACTAACCATAATGAACCCATCCGAGCACATGGGCATTCGACGTAAATAACCAGAATAACCGACGGGATATTTTCTCTGAAGCTTTGGAAATATGACTCCATCCAAGGAACGGTGCCGTCTATATCTCTAAATCACATTTGTAAGCTGTCATTAGGAAATTCTGTAGAGCTTATCTAAAAAGCCAATAGCCACATCAAGACTCAAAAACATGAAGCATGTGTCACTAAGGAGCATATTATCTTTTAAGTAGTAAGAGGAGGTAATCCCAACATATGGGATATTTAGGTACTGTCAAAACAGTCGCCATTTACAATTCTCACAAACTCAAAACAAACTCGATTTAAGAGATAGATCTTTCAACAGAGGCACCAAACAAAGTAATCTTGCACCAAACGTCCTCAGTGCAAATGACGTCATAGATTGGTTTGTGACGCCACAGACAGCTCACGCTCCACCCGCCTCTAAACAGCTGAAGTGTGAGGCGCCTCGGGGCTCGCCGGGAACCCGAGCAAAACCTCGCCGGGCGACAATCCCGCCGAATGGGCCTGGTGACGTCCGGCGGCAAACAGCCTCGTCAGCCGGCGGCGGTGCAATCAACTTGTTTGTCACGTGCCACAAAGCGGCCGTCAGGCCACCACCGAACTCCGAAGCCGCCGAAACGGTCGGAGTTGGTAGGGGCTTCGTGAAACGGTCAAATCAGAGAGACGTCAGGTCTAAGTGAATATTGTGATATATGTTGGCGAAGACATACAAGTCAGATATCCAGACACAACATACATGTTGGGCAGAATTAAAAACGGGTCACGATTCACTTCACCATTAAATAGCGCCGTTGGTGATAATTAGATGACCGTCCATCTAATTATCACCAATAGACCACACTAATCTGACCGCCTATCGGACCCTCCTCCGCAGCTCCGTAGCCTATAAACTTCCTTCGATAGAAAACGTCACTCTCCACAAGTGTTCCCAGCCCCGCCCGGAGGAGAGAGGGAAGGGTAACAAGCACCTCTGTCAATCACATCCTGTACGGGCGGCTGACGACCTCAGGTGGTGTGTCGAGCGGCGTCACAGCGCTGACTAAGCCACGCAGCGACAGCTGCCGAACTGAGGAGTAGTGGAACAGTAGTTATTCCAGAGCGGCGTGTGGTGCTGGCTCAACTAGGGCAACCCATGACCGATGGCGCCACCTATGGCACTCGCTGCCGCCGTCAGCCAGCTGCTCCAGAATCAAGTGCCGAAAAGGGAGCAGCACTGGTCCGTCCGACTGAAGTTCACTGTTCATGCGATACATTCCGGTGGACCACTCAACAACGTAGTGAACACCTGACTTGAAAGGAGCCAAACAAAAGCCGATAACATGCACCAAACATGACGACATGGACCCACAGAGCCTTCCAATACCGTCCAAAACCTTTCTATGGCTCAGAAAAACGTAATCACCTAGTGATAATCCAAAGCTGGTGTCAAAGCTTTGTGATGTCCAGTGGAGACAAGCACCATCAGCTTTAGTCCTCCCGCCTCCACTGAACTGCGGGGGCGGCAGCCGTGTCGTCAGCTGCTGAGCTGGCAGACAACGCCGGTCGCCAGAGGATCCATCGACCCGGGGGGTGAGCGGAAGAGGCGGTGGACGGTGGCCGGTGGGCGGTGGATGGTGGGCGGTGGATGGTGGGCGGTGGACGGCATCCCCAACACCACCTCTATCACCCCACACCTTACTGCGCAGCGCGCTCGCCGTCCGTACTCTCAATCACGACCTCGCCAGCAGCAGTGCAGCCTTCCAATGACCGCTGCCCTGCCGCACACCGGGCTGTGCGACCACTGCGCCACTCCCGTCTGCTACACCAGCCGTACAACAGGCTTATCCTGCCGCTCACATTCCTCGAGCAGCGGTAAACAGCACCATAAACGGACCGCCCTCGTACCCGTAATCGGTTCACAGATAGCCAGCAATGCAATGCCATTACTGTGCATTGCCATCGAATTGGCGGCCGGATCGCTGATAACAGCCAATAGGCATGCTAGATCGAGGAGATCTACCCTATATGCATCCATTTCTCTGGAGCTGAATGATTGCCTGCTTTTCAGAAGCCAGTAACAATAACAAACACAGAACAGCTCAAAAGGAAACTGAATGCGTCTCTTCAAGAGTGCTTCGTAAAACTCAAACGAAAACGCTCGGCAAAGCGCTTTACGCAGCTCTAAACAAACTACAGCTAAAACTCGAGTATTATTTCAGCCCCCCCCCCCCCGAGGCTCGAGAACTGCTAGGAAGCTGAAGCTCTGGAGCTCGAGCTCTGCCCACACCGGCGCTGCCAGTGACCGACTGTGGGGGTATCTAGCGCCGGATGTCGGAAAATCGATACCGGAAGCTTTCAAAAACAGACTCCTACTTTCAAAGGTCGAGTTCCGAGAGAAGAACAACAACGCCCTTCCGATTATTAGGCCTCCCGGGGTGTAAGAAGTTGAAATAAAGCAGAGAGACGCCTGTGAAATAATAACCGACTCAACGTAGGAAGATCGCCATCGATAAAAGCACAACCCAACAAAGTCAACAGCAATACAGATCACGAACGCCCAGAAAATCATGTAGGTATGCAGGCCGATTGCAGTGAGACTGTAAAACGGGCACAGCTGTTCACGCGTTACGGAGAGCCGAACATACAGCTGGCATGTGCCGAGTGAGCTCACTCGCCCCGAGTTACTTACTGAGATCCCCGAGTTACTTACTGAGATCAGTGGAGTGAAGAGTGTCCATGAACGGATCCACAGCCGGCAACTGGGAATAGACACAGCAGAGGTCAGAGCGGGGCATCACATACTGGTATCACACATCCTACAGCATGGATCGGATACCACACAATACACGCTACACATGACATAGATAGGCATCACAGTTCAAAAGTCATCCCGCACTACGTAGAATGGGCTAAAGCCACACAGAGACCCAAAACCAGGGATGCGGAGCCGTGGAAATTTCAGACGGCTCCGGCTCCGGCTCCGGAGAAAAAATTCGGCTCCGGCTCCGGCTCCGGCTCCGGGTGAAATGTCATGGCGGCTCCGGCTCCGGCTCCGGCTCCGGCTCCGGCTCCGAGTAAAATGATCCGGCTCCGGCGGCTCCGGCTCCGGCTTCTACCCAGTACATCCCCTATGCGATCAATTAAATACGGGTGGAAGAAAAAAGGCGATGGGATTGGTACACGTTGCTTCTGTATTTGTATAACAAGGCTATTTTGAATACCACATTGTTTTACGCCTTGTAATGTCAAACCGAACTAGGTAAACAATTGTTTCTTGTTCTACTGTTATCTATGTTTCCTCTTAAGAAAAGGAGCCGGAGTCGCCCCCTTTTTTGACGGTTCCGGCTCCGGCTCCGGCTCCGGGCTATATTGTTTCACGGCTCCGGCTCCGGCTCCGGCTCCGGGCAAAATATGCCGGCTCCGGCGGCTCCGGCGGCTCCGGCTCCGGCTCCGGCTCCGCATCCCTGCCCAAAACCATTGTTGGTTTACCTATAAGTGACTGAGTATTGGCCCGATGATGCAAACAGTATCAATTAACTTCACAGCACGCACTTCTAACAAATAAAACAAACAGATAAACACGTCCCAAACAAACATCACAGCCGAGAGCAAATTAACGGAGCATTGTCGTTTGAGAAAACACAGCGAGAAACTTAGCCCTGAACGTTTAGCCAGCCTGTTGACATTCAATATTTGTACACCATTGAGGACCTCTCGCGATTTCACTACGCAAAAATATGCAAAACAGGCAGCCGATACGCATATAATCCCACTCACGTCTGCATGCATTACGCATACCCAATAACATCCATAAACCATATCCTCCCATTCTGACAGGTCCGCGTGAGAGTGCGCCTCTCTCGGTCCCTGGGATAGCTCTCTCCGGTACCATATCGGACCGGGAGCAGTCGTCTCATCACGTGCCACCTGGCCATCGAAGGCCAGCCCTGACCCAGAGACGGACCGCGCGGAACGGACGGCCTTGGCGAGACGCCGCCGCCCGGCCGGCCACGTGATGGGCGCGGAAATGACCTCTCGAGGTCACGAACCCCCGCCGGAATAGTGATCACGGGAAGAGACCGAAAATAGAACACGGCGAGTATGGAACAGAGGATGGTTGGAGTCGCTTGAAAATGCCCTTTTGCGGCATTACATGAAGCTTTATGTAGTCATTCTTATTCTGTAATTGCCCGCAGATATTACGCTTGGATCATAACAAGAAATGCTACTTCCAGGATGTGTTGCTTTTTTACTCTTGGGGACGGTTAGGTAATGTCTATTGTCTATTGTGTTATGTGGAATACGAAGAGATTAACAAGATAAATTGACTTTTCAAGTGCATGCCGACGTCTTAGTTAGGATACCTGCACCATACCCAGCGAGCATTGTGTCAAACTGAACGATGCGGTTAATGACTATGACGACCAAATATGGACCCTCACAAATTGACGGCACCTTTCA